CACTTATAGAGAGTCGACTGTAATATTATATAAAACAATGTTAAATAATAGCATTTTTCCAACTAAATTATCAGTTATAAACAATTTTGAGCTTGAATTATTAAAATGCTTCACTAAACACGAACTACGTCATTCTGTTCATAAACCAATAAGCGTAATTTATAATCTGACCAATCATCAATTTGATATGATTAACCAATTACGAAAAGATCCAAATTTTAGGGTGACTATAAATTTCACAACCGCAGTATGTAAGTCTTATGCAAAGAATTAAAAGTATAAAAATTAACATGGTTATAAGTTGCATGAGTTTGGGTCAAACCCAACAAACAAATCTCATAAAATAAATAAATCAATCGTCAATAAATATATTTTAGACTTTCAAAAGTCATGAAGGTACCTATAGTGGCATTAAAGTTTTATTTTTCTAGGTACGTACAGCACGTACGTACGTATGAATATTGATTGGTTAGATATGTTATACATAGAAATCAAGATTTAATTTTCTTGTATTTTACGATCCATGGGTGTTTTAAAACATCTTTCAAAGGTAGACGTTTTTTCGGATCGCGTTGTAGTAACTATGTTTATGATCATAAAATTAAAATAAACACTAATCTTCTTAATAGAATGCTTTAATGATTAAAAGATAGTTACCGAGTTAATCAAGTCACAAGCCTCAAATGACAAATAATCAGGTAGGGTGAACTCAACTTTGGCTATTCGTTTATATGTTGCAGAGTGACCAGTTTCTTCGAATGGTGCTGTACCAGTCAATAGTTCGTAGCACAAAACACCAAGCGACCAAAGGTCGATCTTTTCATCATGTTCTTGGCCCTCAACCATTTCTGGTGGAATATAATCCAAAGTACCACAAAATGTTTTACGCCTAAACATATAAGAATGAAACTAATTGAACATAGCCACCTTTTTTAACGTTAAGTGATAAGACTTTTTTGTAACGTACCTTTGACTTGGTGTATGCACAGACCACCCAAAATCGGCAATTTTGACCTCGTCATTCAAATCTATCAACAAATTCTCTGGTTTTATATCACGATGAATAACATGTTTTTTGTGAATATAACTTAAAGCTCCGGCCATTTGTGCAATATACTATTTAGAAAAGGAAATTAATTTATAGATTTCTTGGAATTCTATGCGCAAATTAATTCAAGAAACCTAATAACAAACCCTTGATGTTTTCTTCTCTTTAAGTTTACCTAATTTCACAAGTTGTTTATAAAGTTCTCCTTTGGCCGCATATTCAAGGATCAAGACAAAAAATTCATTATCTTGAAAATGCCCAAGAAGTCGAAGAATATTCGGATGTCTATCATATTTAACTATTTTTATTTAGCAACTAAAGGTTACATATGTATATTCCTTAATTAAATTACCTTAAATTGGCTTGAATTTCTACTTCACGTCTCAATTGTCTTTCAGCGTTTATTTTAATTAGTTCTCTAATAGACAGTATTTTCAAGGCTACTATGTAACCGCTTATTTTTTCTCTTGCAAGGTAAACACGGCCAAATTGTCCTTTACCAATACCACGCCCAATATCAAAGTTTTTCAATGACATTTGGATTGGTATTCTTTGGAGAAAGATATTAATTAGCCTATATTGTAAGTCTAGACAAAAAATTATTAGGTATTACCCAACGGGCGAACTGACTATAGTTTGATATTCTTCTTCTCACATTCATATTAATATTATTTGTACTTAATGTATGGCATGTACAGCGCAAGCTGTTATGAACAGAGCATAAAAGTGAGTCAAATGCAGTGATCGTCATTTTTATCAAGTAAACAAACTTTCATTCTCATGTGATCAGTATTATCAGCCAATCAACTAGTCATGACCCTAGAAAATTTTAATTACTTGGATTAGACGATTTTGAAATAATAATA